TATATATATATATATATATATATATATATATATATATATATATATATATGTCGTACCTAGTAGCCAGAACTCACTTCTCAGCCTACTATGCAAGGCCCGATTTGCCTAATAAGCCAAGTTTTCCTGAATTAATATATTTACTATAATTTTTTTCTTATGAAATGATAAAGCAACCCTTTTCTCTATGTATGAGGTCAATTTTTTTTTATTAGAGTTAAAATTAACGTAGATATATGACCGAACCTAACCAACCCTACCTAACCTAACCTAACCTATATTTATAGGTAAGGTTAGGTTAGGTAGCCAAAAAAAGCTAGGTTAGGTTAGGTTAGGTAGGTTAGGTAGACGAAAAAACATTAATTCATGAAAACTTGGCTTATTAGGCAAATCGGGCCTTGAATAGTAGGCTGAGAAGTGCGTTCTGGCTATTAGGTACGACATATATATATATATATATATATATATATATATATATATATATATATATATATATATATATATATATATATATATATATATATATATATATATATATATATATATATATATATATATATATATATATATATATATATATATATATATATATATGTCGTGCCTAGTAGCCAGAACGCACTTCTCTGCCTACTATGCAAGGCCAGATTTGCCTAATAAGCCAAGTTTTCCTGAATTATTATATTTTCTCTAATTTTTTTCTTATGAAATGATAAAGCTACCCATTTCATTATATATGAGGTCAATTTTTTGTATTGGAGTTAAAATTAACGTAGATATATGACCAAACCTAACCAACCCTACCTAACCTAACCTAACCTATCTTTATAGGTTAGGTTCGGTTAGGTAGCCGAAAAATTTAGGTTAGGTTAGGTTAGGTAGGTTAGGTAGTCGAAAAACAATTAATTCATGAAAACTTGGCTTATTAGGCAAATTTGGCCTTGCATAGTAGGCTGAGAAGTGAGTTCTGGCTACTAGGTACGACATATATATATATATATGTATATATATATATATATATATATATATATGTATATATATATATATATATATATATATATATATATATATATATATATATATATATATATATATATATATATATATATATATATATATATATATATATATATCACTGACCTAAAGAGTCACTGACCTAAGGAGAATGCTGGACAGGATTGACAAGATTGATGCCCGTGATGCTCTCTTTCTCCTCACAAGATGCCTGTCTCTCCCTAAGTTGACCTACTTTCTGAGATGTTCTCCATCCTACAGCAGCCCTAAGTTAAATGTGTATGACACCCTTCTGAGGTCCATGCTGGTGAAAGTCCTGAACCTGCCATTGGACGACTCTCAGTGGGAGCAAGCAACCCTTCCTGTAAGACTCGGCGGCCTTGGTGTCCGCACAGCCTCCCAAATTGCTCTACCAACCTTCCTTTCCTCCTCTCATGCATCGCACGACCTCGTCAGAGATATTTTACCTGCAACCCTGAGAGATTCAGCAGGAATACACGATCCTGCTTTCACTGAATGTTCAAATCAGTGGGATGTTCTTGCAGCCCCAGCAACCATTATAGAGCCAACAAAACAACACAAACAGTCCGGCTGGGACCACCCTCTAGTGGAAAAAGTAGCTGATGCCATGCTCAGCTTCGCAACATCAGACAAGGAGAAAGCCCGCCTCTGAGCAGTGCGTGCCCCCCCATGCAGGAGACTTCCTCCTGGCAGTACCCATGTCAGCAATGGGCACGCGCCTAGATCCAGAATCCCTTCGTCTAGCAGTGGCCCTCCGCCTTGGTGCCCCAATTCACACTGAATACAAGTGTATTTGCAACAGGGTGGAAGCAGACCAATATGGACTGCATGGGTTGCATTGCGGAAGCACAAAGGGCTGGCATGCAAGACACAACGAGGTCAATGACATCATCAAGAGAAGCCTCGTCTCAGCTAGGTGGCCAGCGGAGAGAGAACCTCGCATCCTAGGGGTCCAAAACCCGGATTTCCCCGCACTTCGCCCTGATGGCATCACCATATACTCATGGAAGGAGGGTAGACAGTTGGTGTGGGACTACACATGTGTATCCACCCTGGCTGACACCTATGTACACTTCGGAGGTGATCAAGCAGGTGGGGCGGTCAACCACAGGGAAACAGCAAAATCACTCAAGTACAGGCGACTGGAAGGTCAATACCTCTTTGTTCCCATAGCGTCTGAGACGCATGGCCCCTGGGGCAAGAGTGCCTTGGGATTTCTCAAGGAATTGGGTTCCAAGCTCATTGACGTCACCAGAGACCCAAGGGCTTCCAGTTTTTTGTTTCAGCGTCTCAGTGTGGCAATCCAGACGGGAAATGTTTGCTGCGTCCTCGGTTCCTGTCCAGAAGCGGAGGAGCTTCAAGAGATCCATAACCTTTAGGCATTTGTCTTGTATGTTTTGTAACCTTTAAATACACAATAAAGGAAAAAAAAAAAAAAAGGGGAAGGGGGTGGTAGGAGAAAAGCACACAGAAACTGTATTGGAGGGGGACCTACATTCCCTCCAATGCGTTATGTGTGGTTTCCTCCGAGGCTATGGGTCCTCCTTCTTCCAGCCAGAGGTGGTACTCCCTTCCCTATATATATATATATATATATATATATATATATATATATATATATATATATATATATATATATATATATATATATATATATATATATATATATATGTGTGTGTGTGTGTATATCACGAAAATAAACACGTGATTAAGAATGTGACAATGTCAGACCACGGAGGAAAAATGAAACAGGAATTTCCTTAAGTACTTTCGTATATTAAATACATCTTCAGAAGGTCCAAGGTCCAGAAGGACCTTCTGAAGATGTATTTAATATACGAAAGTACTTAAGGAAATTCCTGTTTCATTTTTCCTCCGTGGTCTGACATTGTCATATATATATATATATATATATATATATATACATACATATCCTAAATATAGATAGGGGCAACCAACCAAAGGCAGACCCACCCCACCAGACAGGTAAACAAAAACAAAAGAAAAAACCCTGCAAGAGGACAACGTACCCAGGCGGAGCAGAGCCGACCCCTATAATAGGTGATAACTAGCTGTCGGAAAATCCGACACCAATTAATAATATTATACAGGCAGATAATATTGCTGTGTTGTATAAACAAGTTAACCCATAGAAAATGTAACTTGTAGTGGAATTTCCGTCTATAGAAAACGGGATATCATTACCACATACTATTATAAATTCACCACCTATTATGGTGGGAATTATTCTTAAATACATTAGTCTTTGGACTTTACCATCATAAAAACATCTCATATAAATTAACTTAATTATCAGAATTAAAATAGAGTAAATGTGACCCTTCTATCACTCACTGTCATCTGGACAATGTAGGCGAGTAGCGTCAGTGAGGAGGGAGTGGTTAGCCATTGTTATTGTACTTAGACCAGAGGCATGGGAGCAATTCGGCTCCTGTTAATTTTACTTGGACGAAGTGTTATGGAAACCAAAGGTGTACCATCATCAACACGCTGTCAACAAATACAAGTTAAGTGTTCTGCCGAAACCCATTTATCTATCATTTGTGGCCATTAATGTCATTAGATAGGGTGACCCGGTTAGAATACGAGATCGCCTCATACTAAAGGTAATTAAGCCTTGGTCTTTATGGTTCCTTGTACAGTGTTTTCTCTGATATAGCTGTCATATATTAGGATTCTGGCTTCATAGCTAGCGCCCTTTTGACAGGTCAAGACGAGGAAGCATGCTTTGTGTACCAGTTACTGGGTGATGGAAGCTACCTCAAAGAGGATAATTTGGCGTCTACATCCTGGTTATATTTGGTGGACTAAGGCCTCCTGTACAAATAAGATAAGGAACCTCTTCAATGTATGTAGTCTAATACTGTAGTTTGATTGGCTGCATATATATAAATTCAATATAACCCCCCCCCCTAATGTGTAGAGGATCGATTTGTGAGATTATTGTAGAAATACAGTCCACTTATCATCATACCAATTGCTATCGAAGTATATAAATTCTATATAAATTCATATAAATTAAATAAATATAAATCTCACAGGTCGGTTCCCACACTAGCTGTGCAGTACCCTGCGCTACCAGTGACGAAAACTACCTCCTACCCTGAGGCAAACAAGGGAAACAAAAACCCCGGTTGACTCCAAGGGCAGCCAAGTACCGAGCAGTAAAAGACACAGCGGAGGTAGATCCCAAGGTGATATGTGGAAGGTGGCCCCAAGCCCCAAGGGCAGTACTGTACTTATAGAGCACCTAGGGAAGGCGACCCTGGGCGCATGCAGCTCAAGTACTGAAAAATATTACTCCCGGCTAACACACCACCCGCAGAGACAGACCATGCCACAAGGCACAGAAACTGAGACAAATCTAGGAGCCAGAGACACAAGACCTCGCCATTATCACATTAGCCAAGAACTGAAGGGTGGATTGCTGGCGTGAGGGTTTGGGACCCACCCTTCCCCCTCCTGGGGAGGGGGTTGGGCAGACGGTGGCGTGGCAATGTGATGACGTCATGCTCATTTGCTAATTTTTGTTTGGGGAGCACGAAAATTTTTCTGTCCACTCGTTCGGCTTTCAATAGCAACATTTTCACCGGAATAGGGCTTTGTTTTGGGACGCCTACCTTTCTGAGTGCCCGACCTGGTCGATGGCAGAATGCTCCCAACCACACGGGGGTTTCTATAGGCCATTGCTCCTCGTGCCACTCTAAGGGGGCCAGGTTCTGGCTCGTGGTCCCCGGTAGGTAAGAACTCCATGCACATTGACTGATTCAAGAAAGCTAATATATCCATATCAGCCTGGATGGCTCCAGGGAACCAACGAGGTTTCCCTCAGAAAGTTTCCTATATATAAAGTCAACACTCATCTTGATGTGTCTCCATGTCAAAAGTGTTTATATAGAGGCAATACTACACTCAGTTGGGTGAGAACAATGTGACCTTCAGCAGCGTACCTTCACTGAGGTGTGGACAGTCTTTACATCTGGGAAGAGTGTCTGGCACTTCTGGAGCCAATCTTCTACCTTCATGCTGCACTCATCAGCTGTGTCTATGGTTGTGCCAACCTCCTGTGGGGTGTTGACTGTGTCGAGGCTCCCCAACATGGCCTGCAGCTGAGTCTTCCCTTCCTCTCCTTGTGTTGTCATATCCACCACACTGGTATCCTCCAGTTCCAAGAGCTTCATTGCTGACTTGTTCTGCTCTACCAGAGCATAGAGTCTGTCCTGGAGCTGGAGGTGGTGAGTCTTCCAGTCCCCCAGCTCTCCCCGGTACTCCCCCAGCTGGGACAGTACCTCTTCACAGGTAGTAATGAGGCTGCTGATGATGCTCTTCTGCTCCTGCACCATGGAACGTAACGTCTTACTGATGCCTCTGGCGGGACCTTCATAAGGTTTTGCTGGCACTACTTCCTCAGTTGTTAGCTGGATATTTTTGAGTTTCCTAACTAAAGCCTCCACAGCATAGCTAATTGGGAACTGGGTAGCAGCTGTGGCAGCGTGCTCGGCACGGCAGTTGGGGCAGGACAGCTGATCATTCTTGATAGCATTGTCAATACACTGGGAGCAGAATGTGTGGCCACACGGCAGATTGCGAGGCCGTAGCTGATTGTCATCATAATCGTTATAACACACTGAACATTCCTCTGGCTTGTTATCCTGTGGAAAGAATATTTGGTTAAGCTATATGTATTATTACAGTACAGTGTCACCTCGAAAAAAAGTAATATTACAGTACAGGTACTTTATTTACTAATAGTAATTACATAATATTTACATACATTTTTTGTATTAGCTATTCTAGAGCAGAGTTAATATTACTGACAGATTAACATATCCACAGAATGGCCAATATTTTTTATAAATATATCCCGGAGTATAGAATAATATTTTTAGGTAACATATGGCAGCAGTAGGGCTGCTTGCAAGCCGTACCCGAGATTACAGACTAACAAAACCCTTCCTTACTTTCTTACGAATAATGGAAGGAAATGTATGTATCGTATGTGATAATGGAGGAAAGATCAAGTATTCTTAGTTTAAGTTGGTCTTAGTCCCTCGAAAGGGAAGGCGACGAAGGGAGCGCAAGTCCCTCAAGATGCTCAAAAAGTAATGGGAGTACTTAAGCGAATTTTTTTTGTGGGAGATTCCCAGGTGAGGTATTTGTCTAAAACGTTTTGTGCCAGGGATAGGGGGAACAAGTTAGGGGGTTTGCTATTCGGAAGCAGGAGTTAGTGATTCATTCATTCATTGTTAACAACATGAATGATATTATGGCTGGAAATGGGAACAATCAGTGTATCAGTGCCGGTGAAAATGTTCTAGGACGAGTTAGGAGTGAGACACTGATATAGAGGTCTAAGACAGCCATAGAATTAGTTAGGAGCAAGGGAGGAATCCCGGTCATATGTGGCATTCTTCCAAGAAAGGGAGTTGGAGATGATTAGTTGATGAGAGCACTTGGTGTCAATTGCTGACTGGACAAATATTACAAATTAAATGCAATATCATTCATAGATAACTGGGAACACTTCAATGGAAGAAGTGACATGTATGCTCAGGACGGAGTGCATCTATCTAGGGCTGGGGTGGTTGCTGTTGCCAACTCATTGGAACCTGTGGTTGGAGGGATTTGTTTGGGTTTAAACTGTAACTGGATAGTGATATAGAAATTGATATGGAGAAAGGAGGAAGTAAAAGTATGTGTTAGTAGAGAAAGCAAATTGGCTAAATAAACAGGGAAAGAGAAACGCCTCAAAATAACAATACACTTAAGGTATATTACACGAATAGTAGGAGTCTAAGAAACAAAATAAACAATTCAAAAGCTCGTCTGCACAGAAAAAAATTCTATTATTGCACTTACCGAAACATTGATGAAAGTAGAAAATAGAGAACTATTAGCTGAATATCAAATAAACAGATTTAAACTATTTCACACAGATAGATATATTAGACAAGGAAGGGGGAGTAGCCATATATGTTGGGGAAAATTTGAAATGTAGTCTCAAAGAGGGAATCAAAACTGAGCCACATACAGAAACTATTTGGTTAGAATTAAAGGAAAAAGCTAAAAATCTTATAATAGGAGTTATATAAAATCCACCAAACTTAGACAGGATGGAAGCAAAGCATCTATGGGATGAAATATCTAGAGCATCTAGGTCAAGCAGTATTTGTGTCATGAGTGACTTTAATTTTAGTTG